TGGAGGCCAATAACGTCGAATCCCGTTCACACTACCCCAATTCCAACTCGCTAAGGCCGATTTTATCGCTAATCCCCTCGTCGGAGGTGGAGTAAAGACACCGGTTTAAAGGGCCCTTTAAGTCGAAAAAAGGGACTTAGCCGTGTGAACGTGTCCAGACTTAATTCGATTTAACGCTGCTAAATTCGACCTAACCTCGTAGTGTAGACCAGGCTCAAGAAGAGGCAGGGAATGTCGAATTAACTGACCGAAAGTTATTTTTCAATCTGTTCTTCACGCCCTTACCTGGTAATATGGGCTGAATGTTGATACAGTGAGAAGCATTGCTCCAGGTCTATGCAAGGCGCGCTATGGACGTGTGAGTCCTTTTCACTTGGTTGTGTTTATCTATCCAATGTGATACTGTACCCTGCTGCCACTCAATGTATCTCATTAGAGGAGTGATTCAGATCCAGCCTCCAGCACTTAGCTAACAATTATCAGCTCTAGACATGGACACCTTTCATTAGCAAGGCAATTGCTCTTTTTACACTTCTGAAGGACATGTCTTCTGCAGTGCAAGCTATGCTATGGGACACCTGGATAGTAATAATTGTCAGCTTCATGGTGCTCTGTAATTACAGTGAAATGTGCTTCCCTGATAAGCTGGGAATAGAAACATTATTACTGACACTGCAATATTTTTTGCAAACATAATTAGAGAATTATCTGCTTTTACCTTGAGTAAGCCCCTTTGGGCAGAATCCCTGACTTTTATGTGACTGACATCTTGCTCCGTGTCTAGGGTCAGATTTTCAGCAGTGCTTAGCATCCATTTAGTCACCTAACTAAAGTGGCCAGATTTTCAGCTGGTGCTGAGCTCCTTTGAAAATCTGGCCTTTGACTGGCCAGGCCCATGGAATGCTGTAACTTGATTTTTCTCTATTGAAAACCATGCACTGCTGGAAATCTGCGTGGGTGAGGAGAGCTCCTGATTAGCCTCAGTTGTTATTGGAGTCTCTTAGGAGTGCCCCTTATTTATGTATCATTGTAATGGTCATTACTGAAAAATCATCTTTTAAAATTGCATTTTCACAAAATCCATGTTTATCAGATCACAGTGATCACAATTTTCAGATGTGCTGGATTCATACTTTCTCGTTTTGTATTGGACAAAGTGTTAAACAGCTGCTCTGCTGGCTAAAATCCACTCACTGTGTTTGTACAACAAAGAAATACAGATTCTGGCTGTTAGATCAGACTGAGGGGGCTCTTTCACCTTTTCTCCATTGTGGTCTACTTTAGACTAGTATAAAATGGAGGGAACTTCCATGGAATACCCTCTAGCATGTAAATCACCCCAGCCATGTCTGTGTGCAGCCAGTCACGCCTTTACTCTTGCTAGCCTTAAAGATTACCACAGGGTAATTCCCCAACACACTCCCAGTCCCAACTTTTCCCCCAGAAATATATGTCCTGTACTGCCCAGCCCCCTCCTGGACAGTACAAATATATTGAGCGCATTATTCCTTGAGGGGTATAATAACTTGTCACCCCAAATGGAGTTATCCAGACACTTCAACTTGAACACACAGGATTAGAGAAAACAATACAACAAATGTATTAATTATAAAAAGAGAAAGATTTTAAGTGAATACAAGTAATAATCCAGCCAAAGTCAGAAATGGTTGCAAAAGAATAAAGATAAAATGTGAACTGCTGACTAACTTAACAAACTATGTTAGATTCAATGCAAAGTTTTTCACCACATGCTTTCAGCAGTCTTACTGATCAAGCTGTTTAGGTCAGGACCCTTCCCCATGAGTCCAACGGTTGCCTTACCTGTGTATTTCCATAGTTTAACATGTTTGGATTTATTTTAATTTAATCTTAACTGTGGATTTCTGAATGTAGATTTTTCATGACTAACTAGTTGAGAAAAGGTGTATCTGAACCTTTGTCTCCACAGGTGCAGTGAATGTGAAGGGCAGGGAGAGAGAGGGGGGGATGTCTGTTCCTTCTTTTTATAGTCCTACTCCCCTACCGTTTGAGAAGGATTTCTAGCTGGGAGCAAGGCGACAGGCTGTCTGTGTGGAAGGAAGTTCCATACTGTTCCCTTGAGAAGATGTAGATTTTTGCCCCTGCCCCCTTTCCTGCCAAATAATGGCCACTTAGCTGGTAATGGTCCATTAGCCTTGTTGACACCTGGCTGAGGCATCAGATTGCCCTATGTTTTTGAGGAACGGGTTTGCCCACTCCCCAGACTTATCTGGAAAACATACTTTAGTCATGATTTCAGCTTGTGTGTATAACTTCACATATAACGCTGCTACGTGCATTTTGCTGTGCTATTATTGATCAGCAAATTATGAGTTTTTAAATGATCCCTCACAAGACATGCCTTGTAACAAACATTATTACAATAGTGTGTAGGGTGTGAACATAGGGAATACATACTCTGTCACAGTGTCATTGGAACACTGTCAAGGTCCTGCTCACCTTGGACTCTAGTCCTTCTGCTCCTTGCAGAATGGTCTGTCCATTTTTCTTAGTATGGAGTCCCCAGTGAAGATTGTCTGTCTTCTTTGGCCAGTTGTGGATGCTCTCTTGGGTTTGTCCAAGGTCAGTCTGGTTTAAACAGAGCAGCAGTTCTCAGTTCCTTCCTGCACTGTAGGTCCTTTCCTCCAGTTGGTTCTTGCAGCTTGTTCTCTTCAGACATCTTGCTCAGCCCCCAGTAGTGATTCCATACGTCCATCTGTGAAGTTATTCTTTGGGGTCTCCTACTTCTGTTGCTGATAAATGTCCAGTCTTCTTCATTTCCTTGCCAACACTTATCATGTGACTCCATTGCCTACATGTAGGATGTGCTCTGTTATACAGAAGATCTTAACTCTGCCCTGTAGTGCCATCATCCTGAGGAGAAAAATAAATAACTCTGAAAACAATGTAATATGTGTTTAAAAATAAATTAAATCTATAAACATAAACCATAAACACTAAAATGCCTTAATCATAACTGCATGGTTATTGCAACACATCATTACAAGGCAGAGTTAAGGCTATTTGGATGCCTTACCTGTGTATTTCCATAGTTTAACATATTTGGATTTATTTTAATTTAATTTGAACTGTGGATTTCTGAATATAGATTTTTCATGAATAACTAATTGAGAAAAGGTGTACTGGAGTCTTGATCTCTGATTTTCTCTTGTTTTCCATTTTTGGTGGGAGGCACTTTGCACTCCCACCCCAGGGGCCAGCTCCCTGCTGCAGGGATGGAACATCCCTCTTGTGCTAGAGGAGAAAGCTGCTTGCAAGGTCCCTTCTGGTGCCCCATGCCCACTGCCCTCAATGGAAGCCAGGCATGGGGCCCTCCTGCCTGCAGGGGAGGTGGGGTGTGGTAGGATGAAGGAGCAGGCAGGGAGGATTCTCTTGTTCTTTCATCAGTTGTTGATACTCAGCTGCCTGTTTGTAATGGCAGACTGTCACACAAGCCTTGGCCCTCTATGACTCAGCCCTAGCCCAGGCCTGGCCAGCATTAGCTGCACCCTGAGTAGGGCTCAGCCATCTGCCTAAGGTTTCCATGCTGGCCATGTGTGAAGGGACTCCAGGAAGTCAAAGAGGACCGTAGAGAGCCAGCAGGACTCCCTAAGCTCTGTCACTGTGGGTATCATTTCAGGACATGCTCCCTATGTTTGGCTCCACATCCAGGGAACCAGCATTTGATCACATAATTGAAGACTATATCATAATACATAAACACAACAGGGGCAAATTAAGGTTGCATAGGAAAATGTAACACTGTATTTCCTAACTTTTGTAAAGTCAAGGCACAGCCGTAACATTCATTTAATGTAGTGTTTTGGGTGTAATTTCCTATGGTTTTAATAAACTTAAACACTGAAAAAACAAAAATGTCATTCCATGGGACCACACTGGGGCCCCCTGATGGATCGTCAACAAGGTTGCGACCTTTGGATTCACAGCGCACACTTCCACCACTAGAGCTAACAGAGTAACTGATAGCAGTAGAAGGTTGTTATCTTTTATGTGGACCAGCCACTAAAGGGGGATAGGACACACACTTTGCCAGTGGGTTTCACAGCTACTGCTAGACAGCAAAGAATGTTGAGACTCTAAACAATGGGTTCTAGTTCAGATCTGGAGTGGAGCGTTCTCTAGTGGTTACCAAGCCTTGTGTCTCTGCCCCCCCAAGCCTCTACCTGCTCCCTTCTGCTCCTATCCCCCTTCCAATTCCTGCCTCTTCCCCTTCCCTGCTACTATCTCCACCTAGCTCCCGCCCACCCAATTCCGCCTGCTTTCTCCCCTCTGCTCCTGTCTGTCCCTAGCTCCTGCCCATGTTGCCCCGCTCTGGTCCTATCCTATCCCGCCCCCACCTCTTGCGTGTCTCTCCCATTTGTTCCTATTCCCCCTCTCGTCTATTCTCCCCTGCCCACATCCCCTATCCCGCCAGGTTTGTATCTCTCCCTCTCCCTGCATCTCTTCCCACCCACCCCAGAACTCCTTCACCCCTCTACATTCCAGCCAGGCTGCTCCTCCTCCATGCTGCCTGCGGTCCAGCAGGTTTAGCATTCAGAGCACAGAAGCACAATCACCCTGCTCTCAGCTCTGGTGCCTGGCCCCACAGTGGCCCCTGACAGCTGGGACCAGCAATTGCAGGGAAAGTCCTGCTCAGTCCCTGCTTCCCTAGGTTGGTGTATGCACAGCTGCTTAGTGGGATGGCTTATTTGCAGTCCAGGTGGCATGTAGGAGATGGGAGGGGATGCAGCATACACAGTCCCAAGTACGCTGCTGGGGGGGGTGCGGAGGGGGAAATCTGGGGAGGTACACTTGGGGGTGCTGTAGGGGGTACTTGTGGTGGGGTACAAACTGGAGGTGGGGGGCAGTGTTGCTCCCCGTTGCGGTGGCAGGGTGGCTGGTGGAAGCCCAGGATTCAGCAATAGCCATCAGTCAACACATTCCTGTGGGGACCACCTCCCCAGGGCTGGGAGCCAGGGCCTGGGTGGGCGGGATCTGGCAGCTGTGGCTGCAGGAGAATGGACCAATCAACCGTGGATGCAGGGATGGGACCAATCAGGAAGCGGACCAATCCGGGCTTTGTTACAAGGATAGGTTCCTGGGTCAGTGTTTTTGTTCAGTGATGTGTGGTTGCTGGTGAGTATTTGCTTTAGGTTGGGGGGTTGTCTGTAAGTGAGGACAGGTCTGTCTTCCAAGATCTGTGAGAGTAAAGGATCAGCTTTCAGGATAGGTTGTAGATCTCTGATGATGCGCTAGAGAGGTTTTAGTTGGGGGCTGAAGGTGACAGCTAGTGGTGTTCTGTTATTTTCTTTGTTGGGCCTGTCTTGTAGAAGGTGACTTCTGGGTACTCGTCTGGCTCTGGAATCGGAACAACAATGCATTTGACATTGAAGCAATTTATTAACTGCAATTTATTAACTGCACAGACAAAGCGATATCACATACAGTTAGGACCAAATTTCTAGTGTTTTTTATTTTCACGATTGCACTGAAAAAAACAATGACACTGGAATAGCACAAAGATTTCCTTACTTCTGCTTGGTCTCAGGACAACTGTTTAGTAAGTTTAGAAAACAAATTAGACATGTAAATATATAAGAATAACAGTTCCACTAGCTACCAAAGCTATTAAAAAGACTATTGGTCCTCATGTTTTAGATCATAATTTCTTCACTAGATGTACTCAGAATGAAATTTGCACCTGCATTATAATATTGCACAAGCAAGTGCATTATGAGGCTTTTACACTTCTCTTCACATTTACTGCGGAGCTCTGTCTAATTCTAGAATGTCTTTGACTTTGGCTACTAATGGAAAAAGAATACCAGATTAATCGTTGGGCTTCTCTGGTGCTTCAGTTTCTTGTGAAGACATGCATCCAGATGTAAAGATTTAGAAGCAGGGTAAAGTGTTAGAAGAGCATGTACTTAATTACATAAATTGATTATTATTTACTTTCTTTAAGGAAAAAACTTGCTCGGCGTCTGCAAGAAGCTGAGGAGCAGGCTGAAGCGGTGAATTCTAAATGTGCTTCACTGGAAAAGACTAAGCAGAGGCTCCAAGACGAAGTGGAGAACCTGATGATTGATGTTGAGAGAGAAAATTCACTGGCAGGTGCTCTTGACAAGAAACAGAGGAACTTTGACAAGGTGCCATATGAGCTTTGAGATGAGCAATGGTACCTTTTAAACTTCTCAAGGGCCCAAATCTACAGTCCTCACCCAAGGAAAAAACTGGGGCTGTAGAAGAGCCTAATCATCTGTAGATCCTTCAGAAGGTGGCTATGTAGTGAAATGGGTTTCAGATGATATGGAGACATGAACAAAGTAAACAATAGTTTTAAACACTGGTAGTTAATCAACCATCTTTGATGTCTTTCAGGTTCTGGCTGAGTGGAAGGCAAAGTATGAGGAGAGCCAATCGGAGCTGGAAGCTTCCTTAAAGGAATCACGGTCACTAAGCACAGAACTTTTCAAAATGAAAGATGCCTATGAGGAAACCTTAGATCAGCTTGAAACAATCAAACGAGAAAACAAGAATTTACAGCGTAAGTGGTTTTCTTTGGGCTGCTTGTTTCCTTTTCATATTCCTATTAGAACAATGATAATGCACAATACAGAGCAAATCTGGACAGAATCAGGAAAATAAAGCAGAAACCCTAGCTCTCAGTTATATGCTTTAGCGCCAGATTTTCAAAGAGAGTTAGGCACATAGGCGTTTTTGAAAATCCTATTAGGTTCTGTATTGTTTGTTCTGTATTGTTAGGCACCCAAATACCTTTGAAAATCTGGCCCTTAGTCATAAGACCTATTGTAGCCAGGATACAGTGCCATGTAGGCCTAGAAATACTGAGATTTTTACTGTCCAGTCCATACCCCCAAAATGTCTACATGCCCACTGGCCCATCAGGTAACTTGCTGTGGTGCCAGAAATCCTGGCACTAGAAAGCAGTACTCAAGAGGCTGACCTGATGTCACTAGCAACTCAGCTTTTTGAAAGTTTCGTTTTGCAGAAGTGATGCTAACAAATATTAACAAGGACAATGTTGTCAAAATAGTGGATAAACAGACACCATCATTAAAATACCCTCCAGCCTGTGGATAGGCCGGAGCTATCTGAAGCTTCACTGAGGCACCTGTCCTAGCTCTTTTGATGTCCCCAGTCTGTATTAGCTGTACATTCTGCAGCTTTATCTATTTTATTTTCCCATGTGTATCTGTATAAGGTGCTGATCTCAGTCACTCGAGCTACATTTTAGTGCTTCTCACTTTTCTCTGGCTCCTTTTCACTTTATTTCATTTGTGGTGTTTATTTCGTAGTGGAAATAGCTGACTTTACTGAGGAAATTGCAGAAAATGGCAAAACCGTCCATGAGCTTGAAAAGGCCAAAAAAACAGATTGAAATAGAAAAATCCGATATGCAGATGGATTTGGAAGAGGCAGAGGTGAGTTCATTTGAAATATCAAAGGAAGAGAGGAATATTCTGTGCAGGGTTCTGGACTTGCACAGAACATTTATGTGGGTGACCATTGCTAATACTCCCTAATCAGATCAGTGGGAGAATAAGAACATAAGTGATTTCTCTCCTGCCATCCATCTCCACCCTCTGACAAACAGAGGCTAGGGACACCATTCCTTACCCGTCCTGGCTAATAGCCATTAATGGATCCTGAAGAATATTGTTTTCCTGAAATTTAATTTTTGCATTATTACCCACTCTCCTAAAGGCAACTCTTGAGCATGAAGAAGCCAAAATTCTCTATGTTCAGCTTGAACTGACCCAAGTGAAATCAGAAATTGATAGAAAGATCATTGAGAAAGATGAAGAAATCGATCAGTTAAAGAGGAACCATCAAAGAACTGTGGAAACCATGCAAAGTGCTCTAGATGCAGAAATACAGAGCAGAAATGAAGCCCTGAGGCTAAAGAAGAAGGTGGAGGGGGATCTGAATGAAATGGAGATCCAGCTGAGCCATGCCAGCCCCCAGGCTGCAGAGGCACAGAAGCACAAGGAGTGCTCAAGGTCTTTGCTTTAACTCTCCAACTGATACTTTTTCTTATGAATCATACAAACAGTTGCCAGCATGCTCAGTAACAAAATCAACTCTTCTTTATATGTAGGACATGCAACAGCACTTGGATGATGCTCTCTGAGGCCAAGAAGACCTGAAGGAGCAGGTGGCCATGGCTGAGCACAGAGCTAACCGGATTCAGGGTGAAACTGAGGAGCTAAGAACAGCTCTGGAACAGTCAGAGAGGAGCAGGAAAGTGGCTGAACAGGAGCTCATGGACACCACTGAGCAGGTGCAGCTCCTGCATACCCAGGTAGCTCACATTGCAGGGCTATACACATTCCTGGTTCTACAGAAACACCAAGTAATAACCAATAATAATTCCAGGATCTTTTCATATCCTTTCCCAGGACAAAGGATCAGAGACTCAAGAGTTACTTCACTCTCTCTCTCTTTTGTAGAACACCATCTTTATGAATACAAAGAAGAAGCTGGAAACTGATATTGCCCAAATCCAAAGTGAGGTGGAGGAGGCCAGTCAAGAGGCAAGAAATGCTGAAGAGAAGGCAAAGAAGGCAATCACAGATCTAAATGTTTCATTTCATTTACTTCTTTTACCGTTTAGCATTTGCCCTGTGTGCTGTGAGATAAAGTGTGTGGTGTCAGAGTCTAGATGAGAGATCTGTCTGCAGCCATGTGTGAAGATGCAGGGAGTCACGTGGGGCAGTGGGGCTGGTGTGCGAGGGATCAATGCAACCTTTAGCAGTTTCACAGAATCATAGAAATGAAGGGCTGGTGGGGAACTCAAGAAGTCACTTTATCTGTTCCCCCCAATGAAAAGATTAAGTAAACTTAGGCCATACCTGACAGGTGTTTGTCTAACCTGTTCTTAAAAACCTCCAATGATGGAGATTCCACAACCTCGCTAGGTAACCTGTTCTAGAGCTTACTATCCTTATGGTTAGAAAGTTTCCCTAATATCCAACCTGAATCTCCCTTGCGGCAAACTAAGCCAATTATTTCTTGTTCTACCATCTATGGACATGGAGAACAACTGATCATCATCTTCTTTACAACCTTTTACCAGTTTGAAGGCTGTTATCATGTCCTCCCTCAGCCTTCTCTTCTCTAGACTAAATTCAAGACTTCCTTTCAACCTTTCCTCATAAGTCATGTTTTCTAAACCTCTCATCATTTGTGTTGCTCTCTTCTGGACTCTTTCTAATTTGCTCATATATTTCTTAAAGTGCGGTGCCCAAAGCTGGACACAGAACTCCAGTTGAGGTCTCACCAGTGCTGAGTAGAATGGAACAATTACCTCCAATTTGTGTGACTGTGTAAGAAATAAAACCCAAATTGAGTACCTGTACTGAGCCCACAGGTTCCCAAATCAATGTAAGTGTTTCTGTGTAATAAGTGCAGGGAGAGCTTACTGATGTTCTACAGAATAGTACATACCACTAAGGAATATCTTTATTAATGATCTGGAGGATGGTGTGGACTGCACTCTCAGCAAGTTTGCAGATGACACTAAACTAGGAGGCGTGGTAGATACTCTAGAGGG